ATGGATGGATGGATGGTCCGTGACTGTTTGTTAAATGGGTTAAGAGTTCCTCAGCTTGTTTGAGAAACACTGTCGTAAGGAGACAAAAGCACAGATAGGATTCAATGTACAAAGTCATGCATAGTAGACTCCCCTCTGAGAAAATTATTTACCTTACCAGCAGGGGGAAACCTAGAGACACTTCGGGATTAAACATGAGTACCATGATGACAGAAAGACCTCAGGAACCACCAGAGGAGGCCTCAAAAAGGTCCTTATCATTCACCAAAGACTGAATTAAACAAACTTTTCATTTTATTTATAATTGTTTTGAAAACATCTGATTTGTATTCCCAGGAACAAGATTTGTGATGATCTGCATTCTTCTAATATTTATATGAATGAAGATATGTATGGAAATGTTGGGGTATGTATTCATCTCTACTTAATTTTATGAATTAGTACATACAATAATTTTATGTTGTATTTGTTTTTCAGACTGACTGGGATGATCAAATATATGCCAATGTCTAATAAATAGAGGAAAAGCTGCAGTTTGTCTACCTGGTATAATTAATGGTTAATTATATTTAAAGTAAGTTTGTTCTGTGTAAGCATTTTGATGTGTGCCGCAGATGTTCTGTGCAGATTCCACTTGCAAATGCAATCTACACCAACAGTGTTAACCAGGTTAAAAAGGAAATTAATTCTAAATATATTTAATTCATTTCCTTTAAATAAAGGAAGCAAATTCAAAAAATATTTGTGTTACATTTAACTCTCAAACATTAAAGTACTTCATAAGGTACTTTTGCTTGCAGCTATAACTTTTCCATACAAGTTTTGTAAATGAATTTATCAATAATGGCTATTAAGCTGTTGTAAAAATGTACCTCAGTGTATTTTTAATTATTATTTATGTGGTAGGTCTTATCTGGTTACAACATTTAGGCTCTAAAGGCCTAAATCCATCTTGGAATATTCTTGTTCATGGTTTTTATATGCACAATGCTTCCTCCTCATGTAGTTCTAGGTTTTGTTTATTATTTTTTACATTTTATGACAAATTTATTTCACACTATGAATCCCTGTGTAGTTTTTAATCTTTTTTCTGACTGAAGTTAACATTAAGGAGACAATAGCTCTAACAGGATTCTATGCACAAAGCCATGCATAGTAGACTCCTCTTAGAAAATTATACTTTTAAAGTTATGCCTTTATTCGGCCAGCAGGGGGAAACCTATGGGCGATATTTAACGTGTTTAAAAGTAAACCTACTCTGACAAAAGAGACTAACTTTAAAGGGATCAAATGGTGATCCTGTAGTTGTTGACCTGCAAGCTTTGTAAGTGCAGATGTGAAAATAAGTCAGATTGTGACTGTTCAATAATAAACGAAGAAAACGTGGTGGTTGTTGGGCGTGTACTCTTGGTCTAGTGTGGAAAAACCCACATCTAAGTGCATGTATGTCTGTTCAGAATTAACTCTCATAAAGGGAAGTTGCTACAAACCTCAGTGAAATTTTTCAAAACATCGACATTACTCAAAAGAAAACTGAAAAGTTTCAACCTCGTTTTTGCTTTTGGCATTGCTGTCCATAGCTGACACAAACAGCGTATTTTATTTTAAATTCTTCATTGACAACAGAAAATGTTTGACTTAAAAAACAAGAACTAATGTGAAGCAGATAACAGCCACTTGGGAGAAATATTTTCCAGGGGAGATT